TATATATATATATATATATACATATATATGTGTGTGTGTGTGTTTTTATTAACACCATACTCTCTGCTTTTCTCTAGTTTATGGCATGGTGCCTTTCCTAAACGCTATTCTTGGTACCATGTTGCCTATGTTGAGCCTGACCAAACAAGACAACATGAAGTGGGTCTTCTCCTCCGGTAGGAACCGACTTTGATTTTCAGGTTTTTGATAGTATTTAACTCACTTCTGTAGGTGGATTGCTGCCGTAAATATTCACCTCCATCAGTAACACAGGAGGATTTCCGGAATTTCGGTGTTATTTTTGACAACAACAAAAGTTGAATCTTTAAAATCAATGATATGATTCTGTTCCTCTGTTTGTGGCTTTTCTTCAGCTCTGCGCCATTTCAGTGACAGTATCTTGGAGTACCTTGCCAATCTCGACAAGGCACCAGATCCCACAGTTAGGCAGGACACATTCTCAAGTGAAATCTGTGCTGCGTTTGACATCCTTTTCAATAACTGGTTACAGAGCAGAGAATCGAAGGTAAGAGCACACAACTTTGCTACTGGAGGTTGGTCCACCTGTACAGCCTGGAAGTCATGTGCACTCAGGCTTTACTGTAAGGTGGGAAGCTGCGACAAGCCTGCTCAAGCTTGGCATTTGTTCTCACAAAGTCAAATTAAATTTAAGACTGATTTTATGGCTTCCCAAAATACTTGATAAAGCATTAAATGTCATACTAGCAAAATATCAAATGCTATTTGCGCAACATCTCATCCGTACACATAAGATACTGTAGTGGAGATTCTAGTTTATTATGTCGCGTTTTGTGAAAAGGTAGCACGGTAGAGTGGTGTGTAGCATGTCCGCTTGTTGGTTCTGAGGTCTGCAGTTCAAATCTCGGCTCCAACTTTACTGTGTGGATCCTAATTAAGAAAAGGGCTAAATAAAATGGCTGGATTGAGGCAGGGAGGGAGTTTGAAGTTCAGATTGTTGAGATAAAATGTGTGGGGACAACCAAACAGCAGCAAACTTTTATTCCTTTTAAATATTCAACACTCATTTGTGTGGTGGAGCTTATAATATTAGTGACACACTAAAGAAGAACTGGAGAAAAATATTAGCATTTCTGCGCAGTCGTGATGAACACCATTTGGGAGGTATCCATTTACCACTCCCAATTGTATGCTTCGTATGCTTGTTCTTTGCTGTGATACAGAGGGCTGTTTTTATAGACAGTTACCTTATTTAGTTAAATGAAAGGTTTATCTTGCGAAAGTTGTTTTATTAGATCTAAGTATTTGATCTAAGAATGTCACTGCTGTCATCACCTTTTGTTTTAAGACACATTTTTGTATAATGTCCTGTCCTCCCTTTTGTCTTTCTTTCAGTTGAGGCTGACAGTAGCTGAGGCAGTGGGCTCAATGTGCCATCTGATGGCTAGTGATAAACTGGAGGAACACATCCCCAAGCTCATCCCTGCCATTCTGTCCTTGTACAAGAAAAACAACGAGCACTACATCATTAGCAAGGTGCCCCTGAGTTGCAACACCAGTAATTTTGGCTCTTAAGATTTCAAAGCAAGGCTCATGAATGCTAAGAATCAACATCTTTTCTTTCTTTAAATTGTAATTAGGGATGGGTACGGATAGATACCTTTATTTGGTATGGATCCATTTGGGTTGAAATTACCGAGCACCTATTCACATGAAATCAAACAGGAACGTGTTTCGGTTCCGAAGCGTGTCTTTCTATCTTGTGACTGTGCAGGAGTCGTAGATTTGGCACTTTTAATTTTTTTTGCAAAAATGTGTAAAATGTAACTTTAAGGTAATTCATAGAATTAGTCATCAACAGACCGATCAATTGTTGGATTTAGTGCCATGTAGTGGTGAACTAATAGAATGTAACAACCTAAACTCGTAGCGCACAGGTGTCAAACTCCGGTCCTGGAGGGCCACTGTCCTGCATGTTTTCCAAGTCTCCCTGTTGCAACACACCCAATTCAAATGATCAGATCGCAGTGGCGGGCCGTGCATGTCAACCTTCGGCCTTCAGTGACGTCACATACATTAACACAATATAGGCTCGTCAAGCAGCACTTAATTTCAGGAGCATTTAAAACCATCGAGTATGCATTCACAATTAAGAGCAGGAAACTAAATTTACAGATATTGTCAAAAATAAAAAGGTGATTTAAAAATACTAAATAAAATGCCACCCAAATTACGCTGTGTGATCTTAGTCTCTCCAATAAATTGCGCAATGTCGCAGTTTCATATAAGACACCAACCAAACTATGACAAAGCAAACTATTCTTTGAAAATAAAGTTAACAGATCATTTGCATTTTGAGAATAGGCTATACAACAGCAAATAACTGAAAATGTTGAGCAGCTGAGATTGAACGAACTTTAGTGCACGAAGGTGACTACAATGCGCCATTATAAATTGCAGGTGAGCAGATTTATTTGATACATTTTTGTATCTTTGTCATTTTATTTCGTTACCATTAATTTAATACTAACGAAATAAAATGACAAGAAGAAATGTAAAATAAAATTCATTGACTCACAATGTAGTGCCTGTTCACTGAGCTGCAGATCTACGCGAGTGTCCCCAAACGTTTTTAAACGCCCCGTAGCTTGTAAGTGCCCAGCCGTTTCCTTGCTGCCTTAGTAAATCAATCCAGTGTGGCTCCAAACACCAAATCGGTCAGTTGCAAGCAATAGGCATTCCCAGCAGTACGAGTTGCAGCATTTCACAGAGGCTGTGAGCCACGGGTAACGTTCATAATTGCTCATCTGAAAATGACGGACAAACCCTTTTCCTTGCTGGGACAGGTTAGCTAGAGCAGGAGTTGGGCGACCTCTTCGCACAATATCCAGCTTTTGGTGGTCCAGTCACGACGTAAGCCCTTCTAGCTGGCCCTGGTATGAAGACTCGTGATCTGATTGGCTATTGCAACCTGACTGTGCCCGTTCACTTATAGCGCACAGGGGCCTGCTCTTTTTAATCTGAAGGCCCCAAGCAAGTTTAATTTACCTGGCAACACAAGCTAGCTGAAATGTGATTGGTTAAAAACTCTACCATAATAACTAAGTTATTTATGGCTTTCAATGTTATTTAAAATTATTTAAAATAACATTGAAAGCCACTCGACTAAGTGGAAATAATATGACGTAAAGAATACAGAGAATAATTTTGTTTTCATATTTATGAAAATAAAATAACAAATTAAATTTGTTATTCTCAGAAAAGTAAATTTATTAAATTTACTTTTCTGAGAATGTTTAGGCCAGCAGAGAAGGCCTTGCTGGCCCTGACGGAACGCCACTGTCAGATCATCAGCAAGCTCTGTGGAAGCCTGATATTGAACCTGTTCATTTGAATCAAGTGTGTTGCAACAGGGAAACTTGAAAAACATGCAGGACAGCGGCCCTACAGGACCTGAGTTTGACACCTATGTGACGTAGCGCGTGCGTTTTGAAGTATGCACCCTACGATTCCTCAGAGGGACCACACTTCGCAAGCCTCCCACCAGTTTCTTCAGCAGAGTTGCAAGCAAAATGTCATCCCAAATGACTTCTAGCGTCATTATTCTCTCAAATGCGTGCGTGGCATTTGCTGCAGATGCTGTAGTCATCATGTTGAGGAACTACGTTTGCAAAGTTGGTTTTCTTCAGATATCCTTAGCAGAAAGATGGTGGCGAAACATGGCGGCCTCCTGTTGGGGAGGCGCATCCCATGTACGTAATATAATTAGTAATTACTTCACCTACAATTACAGAAAAAAAAAGACAATGTGATAGAACGTATTTTTTTTTGCAAGTTTTTGAAATTAATAGTGGCTTTTTGAAATAATTAACATTGAAAAAAAAAATCAACCAATTTTTACACGCTGCCCCTTTAAGAACATTGGAAATGCTCCCATGTAACACGTGTACTGTTTGCTTTTCCGTTTGCTTTTCGGTTTTTCGGCCCAGAGCACCGCAGCGCATCCTTGCTTGTTTGTGGCGGCTGCTGCTGAAAGCGGGTGCGGAGGCTAGGGGAGGCCGACCTTGCCACGGCCTCGCTCAGGTAGCATTAGAAATATCGCATTCGCCAGAAGGCCTGTTGCCTTCTTGTGGGGCTGCGGCGTGGTAGGTGGTGTGATTCATGGCAGCGCAGTGGTGGAGCCGGGGGGTCACGGTCTTGCTGATGAGCTGGCGCACCGGTGCAGGAGCGCACTTGGGAGCCCATCACTAATTGTAATTATATTTGGTTAAATCTTTGATAACAATTGTAACATAACAATTGTAGAACTATAATGATGTTGATTATTGACCTATTTCAGAGAAGTACATGTTTTTATTGTCGTTTTTCATCTCACCTTTTATGTATAGAGTCTTTGCCATGTTCTTGATGCTTCTGTGAACATGGGAAGCAGGGTGCTGGAGACTCAACTGGACAGTCTGCTCTTTGCACTGCATCAGCAGGTAACATGGTTCAGAAGAGTCTTTTAGTTGTAAATTATATTTGGTCTTTGAGATATGTGAAATATTTGACTGATAAATGGGCAGACACGATAATACAGTTCTTCCCTGTTTGGTGCAATTTCATTGCACTGTATTGTCGCTCAGCTGTTCAAAGCTCTAAATAATGACACGCAATTTTGCTAATCAATGACTTCAACTGAGGAGCAACTTAATAATATTGAGGAGCAATTTTTTGTTTGTTACCCTTAGGGTTTTATTGACCAATACAACTGCGAAATTATAACGAGGAGGTTGAATGCAGAGCTGCAGCTATAGAATATTTTAGTATTCAAATATCCTACAGAAAATTCTGTTGTTAAACTCAACTTGAGCAACTAGCGTTTTAGAATGCAACACAATCATATCGTAGGTTTATGGCTGTGAGTTTGAGTTTTATTCTTTATACTAGTAGAAGTTTTGAAAGTGTTCAAGGTTAAAATAAAGACACCTCAAGAGCAAACAGTAGAAATGGTAAACTATAGTAAATGTTGATTAATGTTCTCATCAACTACAATAAAACTGTTTAGATGGTTCATTTGTTCGATAATAATCCTCAAGAAGGATTTGAAGGACGATTAAGCTCAGTCAGTCAGAGTTTTCTCGGTTTTGTTTGATGCGAAATATTAATGAATTAATATAATAAGATAAGTAATTAATAAAATTAATTAAGTCTTTGGTGGTAATATAATTAGGTTAACCTATGCTGTCAGGTAATAGTAACTGATTTCAAAAGCAGAACAAAGTGGCCTAATTTAGAGTTTGGTGGTGGTCATAGTGGCTCATTACTTGTGTATATGTTGGGCTCCAAATGACTCGCCGGTGACATCACAAACAGACTGTCATACCCGAACTGTGGCTCATGCATTGATTCAGAAGGTATAGTTAGTAGTCAGGAGAACTAATATGAACTGCACGACCATCGACACTTAATACGCATATCCCAGTAAAATGCGTCAATTTTGGTGCAAAGACAGTCTAACACACTGGCCACGCAGATTTATTTATTTATTCAATATTCAGAACAATCACGGCGCATTACGGGGGCACAAATTAGTGATCAATGATTCCGTGATGTTTGGCAGCTCTGCATTTTGCCATATACAGTGCCGCATTTTTGTCATATACCGTAAAATCTGTACCGTAAAATGTGAGTGACATGTATATACAGTACAGGCATTTACAAAACCTCTGAGTCGTTTGGTGTTTTTTTTTTCTGAATACAGTTCTTTGGGAAAAAAACGTGATGTACATAAGCCGCGATAAATGAAGCGCGATATAGCGAGGGATTACTGTATTGCAACAGCTCTGATCACTAGCTGCAATTGCAGACTTCTGACCGCTGACAACTTGTGGTAATACAGATCATGCACAACTGTAGGTTCAAGGTGACCTGCTTTTTAATTTTGTTTTTAAATCCTTTTTTTTTTTTTTTTTTGTTAAAGTGAACATGATAGGATGCTCAGCGTGCGGTGTACACTAACACAATCCCCACCCGAATCCGATTTCCCTCTACACCAGGGGTCTCCAACTCAATTTTCCTGGGGGCCGCGAGAGCCTGGGTGAGGCTGGGCTGCATCAGGCTTTCCAAAAAAAAAAAAAAAAAAAAAGATATTCTTCAATGCTTTTGCTTCTGCTATACCCTATACTTTTTCAGTGCTTTGGTTCCGGTTTTCTACAAGAAAAGCTCTGATAAAACATCCCACTGTTCTCAAATATCTTAATTTTTATTTTTCTTCACAAAATAAGATGACAAAAATAAATAAATCAAAGAACTTAATTTCCGCTGGTACCAGATCAGCCTAGGGTCCTGCGCCTGCATATGACGTGAAACACGGCACAATTACTGATTGGTTAAAGGTCAGAAACCAAGTAAACACAAAGTGTTTGTGGGGGCTCTTTAATATTAAATTAAAGTTTGAAAAGTTCTGCTCGTGGCTAGCATGGAGCTAACGCTAACACTGACACATACACATAAAACTTCACTTGTGTGTATGTAAGAGTGCTAGCTCAGTGTTAGCGTTTTAGCACTCATTTTCCCCGTTCTTGTGCATGTGTCATGTCAGGTCTGGTGCTTCGGAGCACCCGGCTCCGGTGACAGCCACAGTGGCGTCTTGTTTATCTGTTTAAGTGTGTATTCAGCAGCAGCGGGTTGTTTAAATCTGTGGTTTACATGTGAATTCAAGCTGGTGCGTGGCACCGTGGGCACAGTCAGATTGTTGCTATTATCCGGGTGCTCCGAAGCTGTCTGCCTTCGAATGAAACAGACCTACCGGTAACTGTTTAGCACTGAGGTAGTGCTAACACATCCAGCATCCTTATCAAACTGGCACGGGCCACATGAACATTAAACTTTCATATCAAGGTGGGACCTCAAACTAGTGTCCTCCGGGCCGCGAGTTTCAGATCCCAGCTCTACACCCCTCGACTGGTCAAACGCGATGGACTGGTTGGGCACCCTTGGTCTCGGTACTGGTGAACATCTAACAATGTGAAACACTATTGTTTCTTATTAAGCCCCCTTTATAATACCCCCCCCCCCCTCAATTTGAGATTTATTTATTTGCAAAAAAAAAGTGTCATTCATGGGATTTTACTATAAACAGCCATTCGTAGTTTTGAGTGTCAGTGTTTGAGGTACAAAATATTTATTTTGACTCGCAAACTGCGATGCGAATCCACTTATTTTGAGCGTTGCTGTTCACAATAAACAATGCTCTGCCTTTATCCTTTATCCCCTGTTTTGTGATTGGTAGTGCCTTTTTAACTTACAGTTTTACAGTGTGTGTGCAAGTGTGAAAGACAACAGTGTTTTTCTCCCCTCAGGTGTCCACCTCCGTCGATTACAATAACCCTCCTACAGTCAAGAACCACAATGAGGTTCTTCGTTGCTTCAGTCTGTTAGGTAGCAAAACTTTTTCCTTGGGTTATTGGATTAACGGTATACAGACAATTGTGTTTATCAGCTGTAATGATTGTATTTCTATTGAGTCACAAGAACAATAATGAGATCCACCTTTTATTGGCGTCAGACTTGATGGCCCTTATAATAATCATATTAATTGAGCCTTTGTATAATCACTTTTCACTTTTGACCAATTTGTCCACACGTTTTAAATCTTGTTTTTATACTATTTTGGTCACAGTTTATAGATTTTGATGCTTGAATAGCTTTTCACCTACTTCTTCTATTCTAGCAAACACCTTCCCCGACCGAGTGGTAATGTTTGTTCTCCAGAGGCTTGAGAACAGCAATGAACGGAGTAGGTTTGGCTCACTGGCTGTCCTGCGTCATCTCATCAACTCTAGCAGTGAGCAAATACACACACCGTATTCATCCCTCACTGATCCCGTTCACTTTTTTTTATTTGATAGGAGAATTTTTAAATTACAGTATGTGTTTAACAGTTTCACGCAACAACTCATTGGTGTGGTTCTCGTGGGCGCACGTGCGCCTCACCGTCGAAAGGTTCTGAGTGCAAATCTCAACTCAGTCTCTCTTGTGTGGGGTTTTGCATATTCTCTGCTTCTGCTCTGATTACAAAAACCTGCATGTTGAGTTAAGTGAAGACTCTAAATTGTGCATAGGTGTGGATGTTGGTGTGAGAGGTTGTTGCACTCTGATTGGATGGCAACAGGTCTCAGGTGTACCTGAGTCAGCTGAGATCGGCTCCATCTCAAATGTGACCGTAATGAGATAAAAACTGTTTATAAACTAGATGGATGAATGGATGGAAGTGTTCTGCACTTCTTGTACAACTTCCCTGTTTGTTTATGTCATAATCTGATACTAGTGTAAATGTGTTGCAGCATCCATGATGGAGAGTAAGAAGCTTCTGATTCTAGCCAGCATTAGGCAACCAATGGCTGACCACAGTAACAAGGTAACACATGTTTAGATTCAGAATACTGATTGTCATCTAGACAACCATGAACTCTGTCTTTAGGTTAAGAAGCGTGTGGTCCAGGTTATCAGTGCAATGGCCCACCATGGTTACCTGGAGTTGGATGGAGGCGAGTTACTGGTGCGATTCATAGTGCAACACTGTGCATTACCGGACACATATCAGGTATTTTTTTTTTTTTTTTTTTTTTTTTTTTTAATGAATGTGAGACACATTTAAGTATTTCCTATATATACACATTCCCCTCCACAAGTATTGGACTGACCTGCTCAGTTCATTTGGTTTTGTTCGTTACTTGGGTTTTAGATGAAACGATGAATGTCAGATAAAAGTTCAGACTTCTAGCCTTTATTTCATGGTATTTACATCTGGATATACAGCAAGGTCAATTCCTTTGTTTTTGCTGTATACTTAAGACATTTCGGTTTCAGATCAAAAGATAAATATGAGACGCATGTTCAAAAGTCCAGCTTTTATTTCATGGTATTTACATCTAGATGTAATAATATCACCTCCAGGCAGAGCACCTTTTGTTTGAAGCCACCAACTTTTCAAGTGAGCAAATGTATTAGAACATAATTATGAAATTAAAGTGAATTATCTGAATCACATTTATTAGCCAAGTATGTAAAACACAAGGAATTTACTTTCCTCGTCATAACCCATCCAGAGGATCATAAACAAAACAATGACCAATAGAGGGAGCTAGAGTGGGAGCATAGTTTGAGCCTGAGAACTAACTTTAGCACATGCGGCATACATTTAAAAGACGTCTAACAAATCTCGAGACTTTACATGTAATGAGTGGGGAGGATTGTCTCCGTGGAGTCATCCTTGGCATATCAGGCTCGGGAAGGACAGGTTAGGAGCTGATAGGTCCTATCGTCTGTGTGTATTTTTCATCCAGGGCAAAATCCAGAAAACAATTGTTTCGGGAACAGGCCATCAATTATTTCAGACAGCCCTGAAAGTCTTTGAGCTTGTGACTCTCAATGGCATCAATTCGCTGAATCCTCGATCAGTTTTTCAAGGCTGGACGTAAATTACTCCTTGTTCTTTTCCATTTTGCGAAGAGACTCCAAAACCACATCACTTTGCGATTGAAATTGGTCAACACATGAGTCTTGAGTGTTGATCACCCGCCCTACACCTTCCATGACGACCAAGGATCTAAGGCAGGGGTGGCCAACCCGCGGCTCGCCAGCCACATGCGGCTCTTTGGTTGGTTCAATGCGGCTTACGAGCTTTCACATGACAAGCGTCGAAAACGCCTCCGCGCTGGCGCTGACATTCAAACAATGGCGCTATGTACAGCAGTACTTATGATGTCAGCGTATCGTCAATCCCCTTATTTGATTGACATACAGGGAAACCAGTCAGATGACAACTGAATCACCTCTCATGCGTAAAGAACGGTGCTAAGCGCTAAGCTAGCCAGCGAATTACCTCTGATTTAAGTCCACTTGGACTCAATGTCCGCCACCTCCCCGGGATGTGGGTGAAGTTCTGCCGGAGGTGGGAGTTGAAACTCTTTCTGGCGGCGGATTCTGTCAGACCTTCCCAGTAAACCCTCACAATACATTTGGGTCTCCCAGTTTGGACTGGCATCTTCCCCCACAACCACAAAATCGATCATCGAACTGCGGCCAAGGGTGTCGTCGAGCCATGTGCACATATGGACACCCTTATATTTGAACAGGGTGTTCATTTCGGAGAGTCTGTGACGAGCACAGAAGTCCAGTAACAGAACACTGCTTGGGTTCTGATTGGGGGACACATAAATTCATGATGCAATGAAAATTAAGGACACAAATATTTGTCTTTTCTACTGTAATTCTGTTTGTGCTTGTCTTCCTACAGCATGGACAGAAACCTGCAGACCCAGAAGAGGTAACAAACGAGTCACTGAGGACAATGTGTGACAACACACTTCATCTACTGACAACAACTGTTGGACGTTTGGCTGATGTATGTTAAGTACCAGTCACTCAATTTTGCTTGTACGTGTCTATTATAAGTACTGATTTTTTTGACCAGGTAACTAATATATTCATTTTCTTGACTATATTGTTGTAGGTGCTTTGGCCAAAGCTGCTCTACTACCTTACCCCACAACAGTACAGCAATGCCACCACTCCACTGTGTAAGAGTCTGATTGTACTTGGCAATAAAAAGAAAGACAACAAGGAACCTACCTTCAATATAGACTTTTCACAGGAAGGTAGGTGCAACATTAACTATCTTTGTTAATATGTACAGTATGGCATAAGTACGGGATGTGAAATCTAAACCCTAATATAGAAGAATACAGTGAGCAATTCACACATTCTTAGGCATATTTAAAAATGTCTTCATGTGTGATCAATCTTACTAACTTAACCCTCTCTATTACATATCTGGATTTGGTCATTTTATGTACATAATAGCAAGTTAAATGTTTTTTCTCTCTTGTAGTCAATCTTCCTTCGCCTCAAACACTGATGATCAAACTGCTAGTAAGTACAAGCCCCGTGTGATCACACAAATGGAAAATCAAAAATACAAAGTGCTTTTAGTTATTTGATATCAGATCTCTTAATATCCACTCGAACTTAATAGGGTTTTAACGGAGTAACATTTAGTCCTGATTCTGAAAATAAATGTGTAGGGAGCTTCTATTCACCATACCTATCTATGTTTGATGTTGCCTCATTCCAGGTCAATGCGGCATTTCCATTCAATAGCAGAGGTCATGGAGCTCCATCACTCTCCCTCCTACAAATCCTCTCTGTGAACATTCACCGCAACACAGAGGCTGTTTGGGACCAAGAGATCCCTCCTCTTTTGACAGTACTGGAAGGTTAGATGTTTCCTGACAGCAAAAAATGATCTACTACTGCATGAAAGTAATCGTTAAATCAAGCAAGCTTAAAGAAGACTGTTTGTTTTTTTAAATTATCATTATTATTATTTTTTTTTTTTTTATGACATTATCTGTCAAACTCAAATGTTTATCTGTGTTTCTTGTCCTTTTTCAGAGACAACTGCAGAGGACCTTGATAAGAAAAGCTGGAATGAAAATCTTTTGCAGGTGTGTTTTTGAAGTGTAAGATTATGTACACTTCAGTAAATTAATTACAGTCAGACCTCGGTTTTCGAACGTTTGTTCTCGACCAAAAATTTCGAGTTTTTTTATGCCTCGGATTACGACCAAAAATCGGTTCTCGACCAAACTGAGCACACTTGAATGCACCACTTGACTCCTCTCGCCTTCCTTACACGAGGAAAGCGTCACTTCCTCGGGTCGACGAGGAAGTGACGCTTACTCGTGTAGCGTTCCGTTGTAAGCAGACGTGTTCAATAAAGATTTTTTTTTTTTTTTTTAAAGAGCGTGGTTTCGGTTTTCGAACAAATCGGTTTTCGAACAGCCTTCTGGAATGGATTATGGTTGAAAACCGAGGTATGACTGTACTAATATCCTACAGTCTGAGGTATAACCATTGTTTCCTTTTGAACTGGATAACCTTAATTAACGTGTATTTTAGAATATCGTCACTGTCAGGCGGAATCCTCTGTCCAAATCTGGACATACTCATTGCCCCCCAGCTCAGTGCCTGTGCATGGGCGTTCAACCCGGTGGATGAGAGGGTAGCCTCCCTACACCTTTGGGTTGAGGGGCCAGGTCCTGACTGTTGTTTGTGCCAATACACCAAGCAGCAGCTCAGAGTACCCACCATTTGATGAGTCCTTGCAGGGTGTGCTGGAGAAGACTCCCTCTGGGGACTCCCTCGTTCTACTGGGCGACTTCAATGCTCACATGGGCAATGACAGTGAGACCTGGAAGAGCGTGACTGGGAGGAACGGCTCCACCCAGTCAGAACCCGATTGGTGTTCTGTTATTGGAGTTCTGTGGTCGCCACAGATTGTCCATAACAAACAGAACACCATGTGCACTCGATGACAGGAATCCCTTGGCCGCAGTTTGATGATTGACTTTGTGGTCGTGCCATCAGATTTGTGGCCACGTTTTGGACAATCGGTTTAAGAGAGGGCCGACGCTGTTAACTGGTCACCACCTGATGCTGAGTTTGCTCTGATGGTGGAGGACAATGCCGGCCCCACCTGGCAGAACCAAACCTTTTGTGAGGGTTTGCTTTCTGTCAGAATCCCCTGTCAGAAAGAGTTTTAACTCCCACCTCTACAGAACTTCGTCCATTGAGTCCAAATGCATCCTGCTCTGTGGCTCTATTGTTGAGAAAGACGATTGGAGTTGTGGCCCAAAGGTGGTCGGTGCCTGTCGTGGAGTGAATCCCCCAACCCGCTGGTGGGCACAGGCAGTCAGTGATGCTTATCAAGCCTTGGGGACTCCTGAGGCAGGTGACGGGTACCGGGTGGCAGAAGACTGCTTCGGTGCTTACCGAGGTAAAAACTCGAGTGTGGGAGGAATTCGGCTCTTCTATCACTGTGGTTGAAGTCATAGATGTGGTTAAAAAGCTCCTTGGTGGTGAAACCCCGTGGATGGGTGAGATCTGTCCGGAGCTCCTCAAGGCTCTGGATGTTGTGGGACTGTCCTGGTCGACACGTCTGTGCAACATCATGTGGACATCAGGGACAGTGCCTCTGGATTTGCAGATCAAGGCAGTGGTCCCTTTTTTTAAGAAAAGGGACCGGAGGGTGTGTTTCGACTACAGAGGGATCACACTCCTCAGCCTCCCCGGTAAGGTCTATTTAGGGGAGCTGGAGAGGAAAGTCGAATCTCAGATTCAGGAGGAACAGGGTAGTTTTCTTCCCGGCCGCAGAGCAGTTGACCAGCTCTACACAGTCTGCATGGTCCTTGAGGATGCATAGGATTCAGTCCAACCAGTCTACATGTTTTTTGTGGCCTTGGATTGACTATTTCTCTCTGAGTTCTGTGGTGGGTGCTTTGGGAGTATGAGGAACAAAATCCCTGATACAGGCTTTTTGGTCCCTATACCACCGATGTCAGAGTTTGGTTTGCATTGGCGGCAGTATGCCGGATTCATTTCTGGTGAGAGTTGTACTCCACGAAGGCTGCCCTTTGTCACCAATTTTGTTCATAACCTTTTATGGACAGAATTTCGAGGTGCAGCCGAGGCATTGAGTGGGTCCGGTTTGGTGGCCTCAGTATTGCATCTTTGCTTTTTGCTGATGATGTGGTGCTGTTGGCTTCTTCAAGCCACGATCTCCAACTCTCACTGGATCGGTTTGCAGCCAAGTGCAGAGTGTTTGGGATGAAAGTCGGCACCCCTAAATCTGAGACCATTGTCAGAGTAGCAAAAGGGTGGAGTGCCCTCTCCGGACCGCGGATGGCACCTTGCCTCAAGTGCAGGAGTTTTAAGTATCTTGGGGTCTTGTTCACGAGTGATTGCAGGATGGAGCGGAACTTTGACAGGCAGATAAGTGCAGCGTACTCTGTCTCGGTCTGTCGTGGTGAAGAAGCAGCTGAGATGAAGCTCTTGATTTACCAGTCGCTCGACGTTCCTCCCCTCATCTATAGTCACGAGCTGTGGGTTGTGACCAAAAGAACGAAATCCCAGATACGAGCGGCCAAAAGGAATTTCTTCTGCAGAGTGTCCGGGCTCTCCCTTCGAATAAGATGAGAAGCTCGGTCATCCGGGAGGGGCTCAAGAGTCGCGCCATTGCTCTTCCACATTGGGGGAGTCAGATGAGGTGGTTCGAGCATTTGCATAGAATGCCTCCTGGATGCCTCCCTGCTGATGTGTTCCGCGCATGTCCACGGGGATGACCCAGAACACACTGAAGAGATGATGTTTCCTGGCCGGCTGTGGGATCCCCTGGGAAGAGCTAGAAGTGCCTGTGGGGAGAAAATTCTGGACATCCCTGCTGAAGCTGCTGCTCCCGTGACCCCATGCCAGATAAGCGGTAGAGAATGAATGAATGGATGGATGGATTGACCAATCAATCTGAAGTCTCAAAAATGGCTTACCCTCTTTGACGATGCAGTGTGAAAAGTGATATTTTTGGTTATGTAAGGATTCCACCTGATGCCAGTGATATGGTTTTGCACTCAGGATCATGATGATCGTTCGTAAATATCTTTTATCAAAAGTTTTAAGTTTGAAGGAAATGCCATTTCACCATAATGGGTATGTCTCCAGCTCCTAGCTAAAACTTTGGTGGCTGTTGAAGATGACAAGTGGGTCTGCCAGTTTGCAGCAGAAGCAACAAGTTATCTTTCCACCTATAACAATGCTTTGGACGAGAAGGTACACGTCTACTTCCTTAAAGGCTTAACCCATTGCAACATGAAGTAATATTTTTCAATGTTTATTTTCTTTCCTTGACAGAGCTTCCTGTATCAGTGTATTGGAGTGACCCTCCAGCATTCTTTTAACAAGGACTTTGTTAAAAAACAATTGCAAGAAATCCTCCTCAAAGCACGACACAATGATGCTGTTGAAAGAGAGGTATTGTCAATTTTAAGTTATTACATTCTCATGAGCTGGATTTGCCGAGAGTAATTGACTCGACTTAAACTTGTAGTTCATATCTCAAATAATTGCAACTTTTGTGGGGTTGAAGCACTGAGCCGAAATGACAGCTCGATGGGTGCTTGCCAATATTCATACATGGCAATTTTCCGCGGATCCGCGGAAATCCGCCGTTTTATTTCTTAAATTGATCATTTTTGTGAATCGCCTAAATCCGTTGAGAAAATTTTAGGGGCGGTCAGGTACCTTATCGTCGAGTTTTCACGAGCTCTCCCGAACAGTCTCTCCGTTTTCCGTTTGTAAACAGCCCTGCGATTGGACGTGTATGAAAGCTTCAACTAATCAGATCACTGAAGGCATTATTTGTTGCGGAAGTCTTAGCTCGATTATAAACGGCCCAGCGATTGGTTAACTACAAGCGATTGGACCAATCAAATTGCATGTAACATATTATTTTACCTGATTCATGGCGGCCTGTTCGTCTCGCAAATTCATTGTTCTGGGATCGTTTTGAGCGGAATTATGAAATTTTTGACGAAAGATCAGGAGTCTTTAATCCTAGAAATTGACTCAAATGTCAAGAATAAATTCCGATTGGACTGGCTTGACAGAAAAGTCACTGTAAAGGTTAAAATTGGTTCCAAGTTCGACGAAGTTACAGAAGCTCTTGGACAATAAGCTTTGACGTAGCAGGCAAAGCTTATTGTGTGTATTGTAGTGACTTAATTAACTATGGCTCCCGTGGATGCGTGGCACTGACAGATCATGCAACAAAAGTGAAAAAACATGCCGACAAAATCGCCATTCGACGGAGCAATTATTCTTTGGGATCGGCATTTTTCAAACAAACTTAGTCAGCGGATACAACTAAAGACGTTACACGCTGGGGTACTTACTTTGGCTGAACCAAGCAACGAAATCTGCTCCACTGACGCCCCTCGCCGATAGACAGGTACACTCCGAGGTATATACTTTTTTTATTCAAAGATACGAGGATGATATTTTCAATTTTATTTGGTATGCATTTGTAGCAACAGCATGATAACATTTATTTGTTTTTATTTGCGTTTTATATTCATATTGATAATTCACGTTTTGTCTTGGATAATAAAGCACGGTTAGGCATAATAAATTGTATGCATAATAAATATTCACTATCACTGTATGAGGTAAAAATCAACAGCTTTTTATCACATTTACACAACACTTTATGAATACAAGTCATGAACAAATCTTAAATATGGCAGGGAATGTGTTTACTTTTTTAGTTTTGATTTTGAGCAACAAATTTGGAGTTACATCTTGGTGCTCACCAGGAATGCATAGGCAAAATTGCACAAATTTCCACTTGAAAGAATAGTGGCGATCTTGGGATTTTTTTCTGTTCAATTTTCAAACTGTGTAAATTTAATACACTTCATCTTCAGCATGTTTAGTGCCACTTTTGTAAGTAATCACGCCCCCGTCCAGGCCACGCCCCGTCCAGGCCACGCCCCTTCCGCTTTTTTCATCACTCGCCATTGCCATGTATGAATATTGAATATTAATAAACACTGTAATTAATGGTCATCTATTTTCTAATGTGAAAGTTCATCTTCAGTAAATGTTGTCATATTTGAGTAAATAGCACATTAAAAAACTGGAACAAAAAAACAATCAGATTTTTGTATTCATTTTGAAAATGACTACAACTGAGAAACTGTTCTTTCTCAATAAATGCGGTTGGATAATTATATTTAGTAGTTTACAAGCAGGAAAGTAGAACATTTTGATTTGAATCTTTCCCATAAGTTTGACAAAATAGTACTGGATTTGAATAAATAGAACGTAAGTAATTTGGTTTTCTCGTTTGGCAGGGTTTGGCTTTGGGCATTGGCTTGTGTGCCAACAGTCATTTAGAAGGAACTCTGGCCAAGCTTGACGAGTTTGGAAAGTCTGATGCATTCAAGAAATCCCCAAGTATCTTCAACCTGCTCAAAGTAAAAAGATATTCCATCCTTCCATCCATTTCTCATCATTTGACGTAATCAGTTGATCCTCAATTTCTCTGTCTCCTTAGGATCGAAATGAGGTTGAGACGGAGAAGGTAAAAAGCACTTTAATATTGTGTTACGGTCAAGTGGCCGTGAACGCTCCTCCAGAAAAGATCCTCAATCGCATTGATCAAGACATTCTTCGCTGCATCAATAAACACTTCAACACAAAGGTAATAAAAACACTGTGGTGATACACTTAAGGATGTTTGTTTGTGGTTGTGGTCACAAAATGGAAGAATTTTTTTTTTTAAATTTAGTCTGTATTCTCAGAAAGATTTTTTTGAAGTGTGTTGAATCATTTATAATACAGAGCATTAAAAAGAGATTAATTAAAAAGGCATAGGTTTAAATCAACATATCTCAGTGAAACTTTTATTTTTTCACTACATAATCAATATCTTAGCATTATTTTTTTTTTCAACAGTAACAAAATCTTACAAATTTAGTTTGTAAGTTGCAACCGTTTTTTTGTTTCTAATCTTGGGTTTCAACCTTGATATTTATATTTGGCCTTGTGACTATAATACCTCTATTTCATACAGGTTCTTGGGATTAAAGTAGAGACAAAGGTATCGTCACAGGGATAGAGGGGCTAAATTTATCTGTCATAACTTCAAAGTTAACTTTCTTACTTTCCTGGTGTTTTCCCCTTTTCTGGTGGATACATTTGCAGTGATGCTGTCTTTGAAATTTTGCCTAAAGCCTAAAAGTCAGAAATAAGCTTGTTGCATTTTCATTTGCAGCCAACTTTTTAACAACCTTACATTTTCAACTTTTCCACTCTAAGGGTATCATTTTGTCAGTGGTATTGACACTATGATGGGGGCATTTTTTTATGCCTAAAATGCTTCGGTTTGCTTTTAAAGTCTTTCTCTGTTGCTCATAAAAGTGAACAGAACAATCATGTACAAAACATTTTGGACTAACTTCTTGCATCATTCATGGATCACGATTAATGAACAAGAACATTATTGCTCGTAATTGCTTTGTGTTCAACAATGTGATCTCTATCTTGTTCAAATTAAAATTCATTTCAATGTCTAAAGTTCTGATTAGATTTTGGAGACTGCTCCATGAATGCTGAGCAGGCTTCGTTTCATTTTGTTTTTGACTCCAAACCGCGTTCTCAGATTCAATCAGGTCTGTCACTTTCTAGACCATAGAATGTTCGTGGCTGTTTAACTAACCTCATCAACGCTGATTCAAACTCTTCATCTACAACAATGGCGACTCGATCTTAATGCTAGATTGTTTATGTTGCTCTTGATTCTAGCATTTACTTACTTTTGCTTTGCTGTTTCTAAAATATGCTACTGGCGGTGGTGTACATTCTTCAGAACTGTGGCATTTGAGCCTGTAAACAAAATCTTGTGTTGTTTCTGTCCTTTCACCTTGCTCTCTTTTGTGTCCTACGTTTTCTTTTTCTATGCCCGTAATTGTGTGTTTGTGTGTGTGGCCAAATCGTAGGATTTGACAATGAAACTAAGTTTGATCCAGAGTGTTGGCCTTGTTGCCAAAGCCATCAGTGAGTGTGTAAAGAAACAAGGCTATGTCTTCTCCCGCAAACAAGAACTCATTGCTCTTATCCAGGTGAGTGAACAGCACTTTAATTTGCTTCATAAAGCAAATGATGAAGCATATGATTAGCGTGGCGTGTGCCTGACCGTCTAGTGTGCTCAGTCCTACCTCCTGGATGTTGCATGCTCTCTCCTAGTTTGCGTGGTTGTCCGACAGGTACTCTTGGCACCCTACTGCATTTCAAATACATGCGTGTTAGTTGAAATTCATGATTTAATTGAGTGGGAATTATTATTATTTGCCTGAGTGTGAAGTAACAATAGGGCCAAAATCAGAATTAATTGCTTGATAACAGACGAGCAGCTCACATAAAATTGAATTGGTTGTTTAATTTCATATTTGATACGGTGTATTTATAAAAGGAGTGAAAAAGTACATTTTCACTAATGTCACCTTTAGTGGTTTTTACTATGCACATTGACCCTGCCCCAAATGTTGGGTAGTATAACTTTGGAGTGATGCTGCTAATCAACAAATAACAAGTACAACAATACCTTGTCACTTTTATTGGTTGACTATTCTCTGATTTGTTTTCTTGGACAGGATTTTATTAAGGCAGAACCTGCTGATGCGCTTCGGAGTCCAGTGCGCCACCTGGTCATGAGCACTTGTGCCAACCTAATGTATCCTGCTATGTTCCTCAGGAGTCTCACAGTTGAAGTAGACTAGCTATTGATGTTTAGTCTCTGAAACAAACAAACAAACAAACAAACAAACATTTTTCCCCAACAAAGGTCTATTGACAGCGGATCTTGGCAAACTGAAGAAAACAGATCTGTGAAATTGATGTTATTACTTTCTGGTGTGACACTCATTTCATTTCCCCAGTGTTTTATCCTTTGACCTTTTAGTGCTTCAGGCCTCTCGACCCTGCACTGAGTGAGAATGAGACCTTTGACTTGCTGAAGGTGTGTGTGAACAGTGTGTTTTCTCTTCCACCTGAGCCGCACACTCCAGAGAAAATAACAAAAGAAGAAGAAATACTTGACCCCAAACAAAGAAAGGTGAACTCAGCACAATTTCACATTAAAGCTTGTATCCCACTTGGCATAGGTTGAAAAAAAATGTGGGTTTATGTCAGAGTCCATCAAGGTTCGTTCAGGGTCGCAAATGTTCGCAAAACACTCACCAGATATTCACCAACAGGTTTGATGTTGTCTCTTGTGATAAGAAAAGTACAGGTGAACATTTGTGACTTTGAACACACCTTGACGAGAACGGAACTTTCGCTGCCTTCGGAACACAGTGGGATGGGGGGCTTAAGATATAACCTTGCACATGTACTACATTTTTATCACGCTACATTGTTAGCCAAACCAACACATCTTGTGTGCAGGCCTTGTACAAAGATACGTTGTCTTCACTGCATGAGTTACTGAGCAGTGTGCTTGGTAAGGATCCCACGCCTGATAGTTTACAGAGTGTATTCAAGGTAGGCCTCTTATTTTTCTACCCCATGTAGCTTTTCTTGTATTTTGTTACTTTGTAGCAATGGCAATAGTCATGATCATGAATTACTGACTTACTGTGCTCATAATAAACGTTGTATATTCAGTTCTCTATATATGTTCCGAAATGTCACTTCACATCGTTCGACATGATATGTAGTCCACTGACATTCATTAGGGCTGTCCTCATTTGTGCACCATCATTTCCAATGATTTTGTCTTAAAAAAAAAAAAAATTGTGAGCCAATCGCGATACTTGTCTTCACTTTCATGCGCAAGCGATGTGGAAAAACCAACATAGGTTTTATTCTATAAAACATTCATTTGTAACAAAGCCACTGTATACAAAACAAACCAACCGGATAGAGATCATGGTCTCCACATATACTGTAGTGTCTTGAGATACATTGTGACAAAATGCAATACAAAAGCCTGATGGTAAAATAATACACAACCACTCTGAGCTGCTAAAATTACACTGCATCAACTCTCTTGAATTAAACATTTTAACATTGAATGTCTCGGAAACTGTTAAGGATATAAAAACGCATCTGGTAAATTCAGAAAGCTGGTAATCTCAATTTTTACATGGAATGTTCAAAGATGTTCAGTGTGAGCACCATTGGTCACATGACACAAATTCTTGTCAAACGCGTCCCAGCATTACATTGTCAATGGTTGCAACAGCTTCTGTTATTCGTGCCTTCAGCTTAAAGCATAAGCACCCATCCGTTATGAATTTACCATGCCATCTCACTATGGACTTCCTCTCTGGTGGCTCCTTTCCGAATTCTCTGCGAAATGCACGTTAAACAACAGTCCATGATTCAGTTTTTGCAAATTCAAGCACATAAAATGCCTTTTCTGGTGGAGTGAACGCCATTAATGGGCCTGAAAAGAAATAAAAAAATCAATAGCCTTATGAAAAACTTTATGTAATTAATTAGCTTTAAAATGGCTCGACTTTTATCTTACTACCATTCATAGTTAAGGAGATATGATGACTTCAAATGTGCCCAAGACTTTTGGAACACCCTGTATATTGTCACCGCTTTTGTCTCTGGGTTTAAGTTCCACAAGATTTTTACTGTTTCTAAATGTGAGGTTTGAGACAAGTTAAGCTCATAAATGCCTCAAATTTGATTAATTCCCAAATTTTTCATGTTTATAATGCATCGTTTAATGGGATGTTTAGCATAATCCTCCTGAGGTGGATAAAATATATCCAATTTATGATTATTATTATTACATTTATTAATTAATGAATACATGCGTACAAGTTTAATACACAACCAAAGGTGAGTTTTGTCACAGTTGTGTACGGCGGGAAGACTTTGTCACATTTTTGCAAGTTTCAAGTTCATTTAATTGAAAGCCTATCTTATATTCTGTCTTGTTGCAACTTAAAAAATGAATAGTTAACCTTCATGTTTCCATCCATTGCTCTTTTTTGTCTCTCATCATCGCATCCTACACAGCACATAGAATGCTGGCTGACCTCAACACAAGACCACGAGAGAGAGAGAGCTATCTTGGCCACTGCTCACATGTTGACTCACTACTTGGACAACATGACAGTAAAGGTGAACACAGACTCAGGTGCCGCTTAACTGCATGACCCAACTGTTTTTGCAAGACATTTAATTGAGACTTTTCTCATGTGCTTCCTTGTCTAGAACATGATGTCCTTCCACAACCTTGGAGCTCTCCTGGGACGACTGTCTCCACGCTGCTCCGACCCTCACGTCGCTGTCCGCACCACCGCCATTGACTGTGTATACATACTGCTCACCATCCAACTACGCTATGAAGGTGAGGACATCATTTTTATTATTAATTATTTTATTTTTTCATTTATTAACATTGTTCAACTTTTCATATGTTATGTAATAGAAACTCAATTCCAATGAAGTTGGGATGTTGTGATAAGATATCCTTTATTTGTCCCACACTGGGGAAATTTACAGTCTACAGCAGCAAGATTGTGGGTAGAAAGAAGAAAAACAAAGTGTATGCATTCACAAATTTTTATATATATA